AACCAATATTGATATATTTTTATTAAGTAAAGTTCATATTTGTATTTCTTTAGATACCCTTTTTCTGTTTCAGAATCACATCCAGGATTCCACATTTTATTAGTTGTCATGTGTCCTTAAGCTCCCTCTGGCTATGACATTTTCTCACACTTTCCTTGTTTTTGATGACCTCAATGGTTTTTTTTTAAAGATTTTATTTATTTATTTGAGAGAGAAAGCAAGAGTCAGAGCACGAATGGAGGGGGAGGGGCAGAGGGAGAAGGAAAACAGACTCTCTGCTGAGCAGGGAGCCTGATGCAATCTGGGGCTCGATCCCAGGGCTCCAGGATCATGACCTGAGCCGAAGGCAGACGCTTAACTGACTGAGCAGGCAACCCTGACCTTGACGGTTTTGAGTACTACTGATCCGGTATGTTGTAGGCTCTTCTACTGGAAATTGCCTGATGTTTTTCTCATGATTAGTCCAGGGTTATGGGTTTTGGGGAGGAAAGTAGTATTTTCATCAACTCATATCAAGTGTATATGCCAACGACATGATTTTTGACTATTGATGTTGATATTGATTATATGGAGGAAGTAGCATTTGTCAGGTCTCTTAACTGTAAGGTACTCTCTACATACTGTATTCTTAGAAAGAAGTCACTATGCATAGCCCACACATAATGATGGCAGTTATGCTCCTCGCCTTTTGGAGTAGAGTATCTACATAATTTGTTTGAAATTCTTTTGCAAGAGAGATTTGGACCAAGATTTCTTTTAAGTAGATGGGCTTATTTGGGTTTTGGGTTATCCCAATAAGTATTTTGTGGTTATAATTATGTATAAATTTTTTTAGATAAGGCAATACGACCATGGCAACGTGACAGAGTGGAAAAGGTACGAGATTTGGAATATGAGGGTCTGAGGTTGCAGAGCAGCCAGGTACCTCCCAGAAGTGAGACATGGGTATACCTGTCTTCCCTGAGAGCTGCTTTGTGTGATCAGAGGTTCTACTTGGCAAGTCACTTTACTTCTACCCTCACTGCCTGGAACAGATGTTCCCTGGTGTGGCCCATGGCTGGTTTCTCCTACCCTTGTCTCAGCTCGAAAGCCACCCCTTCCAAGCAGAGTTCTCAGAGCACCGCAGGTAAAAGTAGCTCTCCCACACCCTGGAACCTTCTATCCCATGGCTTTGTATTAATTATTAGCATGATTTATTATTATCTAAGATACTTTTATTTCTTCCCTTGTTTATTATCTGCTTCTAGATTATAAACTTTATCAATTCCATGAACTCCAGCAAGTCAAGGACCTTATCTGTCTATTTCCTTTGTCTTAGCTAGAAAGTGCCCTGAATATATTCAAAAGAACAAACAAACATCAAATGACCCTTGGAGACATCTGCACTGAACATTCTCTGAAGCTAAAAATTAAGTAAAATAACACAAAACTCTTTGGTGACTCTAACCAAGAGGAAAGATAAGCCAATCTTCACTGCTGGTACTTCCATGAAAAAAGGAGGGATCCTAAAAACAAAAGAGATTTTTAGTATTCTTCCTTTGTTTTGGAATTTGAATTCCAACAAGATGGTATTATTTTGACTTAGATTACTTTTTGCTTGGGAAACTTAAATTAATAGGTATTTTGGCTGCCACGAAGGAGTACTGACTTCTCTTATTTAACAAATCAACGTCCAGGAAAAAAAAAAAAAAAGACTTTGATGTCCAGAAGAGGGACGTCTTCCTGAGGCTCTCTGAAATTTGAGATGTCAGAAGTATTTCTCCTCTACAATTGTTGGGAAAAGGAGCACGTTTATTCTCTAGGGGAACTGAAGCATAATGAAATGCAATCTAAGAACATGCAAACTTATTATCTACCAGGATGGTTGAATGGTTCCAATCAAATGGAGGATAGAAATAGGGCTTTATATTCGGAGTTTGGAAAAATGACTCCACAGCTATATTTAGGTGCAACAGTGCCTACAAATACCTGAAATTGTGGCAGTCTGTGGCTTGTTCATAACATAATGAATATATTTTCCCTTTGAAACTTATCATGGAGGTGAGGAAAAAAAGTGCCCCAAATTATTCCTGCAGATGAAAGAAAGATATCTTACTGTGGATGCTAAGAGAAAGAGTGCTGCTTGTCTAAGTAATAGGTTGGTATTGGTTTTTAATTGGCTCTTCAGAAGGCTGCCTCTGTGTCAAAGACTGCTTCGAGTAGGTGAACCCTATGACTTCAAAAAGTCAAAATTTTTCTTTATTTCCCTCACTCGTAGGAATTGCTAAGAAGTAGAGCTTAGCATCATTAGAAGTAGGGATCCTTTTATGAGAATACTATTTTCCTTGTCTCCATGGATAGAAGTCCTAGCACCAGGGAAATGACATTTTAAAAAATACGAATCTGATGTCAATTGCTATTTAAAATTTATCAACAAGTTTCCATTGCTATTAGCTTAAAAATGAAATTCTGTAATGTGGTCTATGGGACCCTGCGAGAGCTTTGACTGTGTCTAAATTGTTCAGCCTCTCCTTGTGTCCCAGGGACTTTGCACTGTCTGAATTTCCTCTTCCTTCACCTTATTCTGTCTAGTTAATTCTAGGTACCCCTCAGTTCCTAGCCCAAATGTCAAAACCAGTGGGACATGTCGTGACCTCCCAGACTCTTTTGTTCAATATTCTCATAATTCCCCAAAGCTTGTCCTTATCACAGTTAATATTAACTATTTCCCCTACTAGATTATTAGGGCAGAGACCATGTCTGTTTGGCTCCCTGCTCAATGCCCTGGTACATAGTAGGTACTCAATGCTATATACTGGATAATGAATAAATGAATGAATGAAAGGAGCTGAGTTATACTTTCCTTTCTTGCATAACTTTTCTAAATACTTAATATGCTAACAATAGTGTGTTCCTTTATTATAACTAATAACAAAAAAGAAAGGCCAGTTTTCACTTTGTTTCATATTGACAGTGAGATAGCTCAATGAAGATAAAGGTGAAGAATGTGGGTTTTACGATCATAGAGACCTAAGTTCAAAACCTGTTTCTACCACTTACTGGCTGTGCGATCATGGGAAAAGTACCTAAAATTTTTCTGTGTTCCAGTTTCCTCATCTATAAAATAGGTCAGACCTGGGTTTAAAGCCCTGATCCATCAATTACTAATTGTGCAACTTGGTACAAGTTAATAATTTCTCTAAGCTTCAGGCTCCCTAACAGGTACTATCATACATGAGGCTAATAATACCTATCTTTCTCTGCCTTAGGGTTATTAGGAGGATTAACCACAAACACACACACACACACACACACACACACGCACACACACGCATTTGTTTATAAACATATGAACGTTGCTCAATCTGTGTGGAGTAAGAAGATAAAAGCAAATTAACACAACAGTGTGACATTATGTTCTACTTATCAGAATACCAAAGATAAAAAGTTGGCCAATGCTTGTTGGTAACAATGTAGAGAGACATAGGCATTCTCATTTCACTGTTGGTGAAATATCTTTGAAAGGCACTAAATTTGACCTAGAAATTTCCCTTCCTAGGAATTCAGCCTACAGGTATAATCATACATGTTCATAAAAATGGCAATGTAGCATTGTGATAGTAAATTACTGGAAGCAATAAAAAGTTCATCATTAAGACTAGTTAAAAAAGTTATGGAGTTGATAAAATGAAATACTGTATGGTCATTAAAACGCATTGATAGGGAATTATCTCCAAAATATTTGATGAAAGGAGCAATGTAAAGATCTTTTTTTTTTTTTTAAAAGATCACTCTATACAAGCATCCAATTATTTAAATGGATAAAAAATACTTCTCCAAGAATTTACTGGGGGGTGCCTGGTTGACTCACTCAGTTGAATGGCTGCCTTTGGCTCAGGACATGATCCTAGGGTCCTGGGATGGAGCCCCGCATCGGGCTCCTTGCTCAGTGGGGAGTCTGCTTCTCCCTCTCCCTCTGAAGCTCCCCCTGCTTGTGCTCTCTTTCTCTCTCTGTCAAATAAATAAATAAAGTCTTAAAAAAAAAGAATTTACTGGAAGCCATGGTTGCCTCATGGGGAGAGAAATGGGGGTACCCAGCTTTGGTGAAATTTATTTTACATTGTCTACACTTTGTTGTTGTTGTCTTTAACTGAGTGTGTATATTCCTTTATCAACTCAAATTAAAAAGAAAAATATTTTATTTATTTATTTATCAGAGAGATAGAGAGAGAGTACAAGCAGGGGCAACGGCAGGCAGAAGGTGAGGGAGAAGCAGTCTAAGAAGGGAGCCTGATGTGAGACTTGATCTCAGGATTCTGAGATCATAACCTGAGCCGAAGGCAGACACTTAACCGACTGAGCCACTCAGGCACCCCTAAACTGGAAACTTCTGGAAGGAACTCTCCCCTTCCTAGTAATGCTCTCCATTCTCAAATACTCTGAAGTTAAGAAATTTGGAAAGGACCTAGCTAGTAATTAATTTAATTTATCCAACCTGAAACAATCAGTTGGCAAATAGATATTTTTCTTCTAAAATCATATTTTAATAAAGGTATTTAAAGGCTTGAGATGTTTTCAATCATTCTACTGCAATATAATGGTTAATTTTAAGAGCTCTGTGAGTTTGATTTGTATTTAAGATTTTTACAATCTATATATAGGTTGGTCTTTAATAACCATTTATACATTGCTTCTTTTTATATAGGTCATGTATTCTCCTGGGAGAGTAACAAGATTAGAAATAACAAATACAGTACAGAATAAATTAAAGTGCTTCAAACTGCATTATATAATTTCAGAAAATTAGTTTCACACTGAAACATTTAAATAAGAAAACCAAGTGATTTAAGGTAGTGGGGGGAACCATAGTATATGCATTTTAATTGCTATTGTTAGCAAGTTTTATCCTTGGCAGTGTGGTATCTGTTCACAGGGCTCCAGTAATGTGGCAGCTCACTGGGTCAATATGGATAAAATTATTATTATTTTTCCTTATTTAAAAAAGTTGACTTCACTCTCCCTGAAGATGAATAGCATTTATTAGTCAAAATGTCAAAGGAGTATCGTAAAAGTAATTGTATTTTTATATATAATTCTCCAAACTCTTGTATACTAAATGTTCTTATTACACCTAGTGCCATAAATTCGGAGGCTGTTACGGGACAGGAGATAGCAAAAGGGGGGCCAATACTTTTCTAATTAGTTAGGATAATAAAATGTAAGGCTTGGTTTTCCTCTCCCAATGAAATGAAGGAGATACGCTGCTCTGGAGAGTCTACTATTCTGGCTGGTTGTGTTTGTTTCTGTGAAGTTTAGCATGACTCCTTGTACTGAGTCCTCAGGCTTTTTTCAATTTTTCTATTCGTGCATTAAAGGCCTCTTCCTGTATTTGCAGCTTTTCGTTTATCTCGGTCTGTGAAGACAATCATAAAAAAGTGGTTATGATGGAGCTATCTTTTGCTGCACATTGTCTTTGTGGTTTTGACATACTATAGTGCCTGAAGACAGACATTATCCCTCACACACCTTCCTGTTTTGCAGACAGAGCCGTGTTTCAGCCTGTAGTGATGTGATAACACTTTATCATATTTCTCTGCACATTCCCGATGTATAGCATGGCTGCTATGAACAGGAAGTGGTATTTGGACAGCCATTTTTCACATAGCCTTGTTTTGGAAGATAGGATAATTTATCTGTATTTTCAGACAGACTTTACCAATAAGCACCGAATCAGAATAACTGCTCTGGTCTCAGTTAGTGCGGTGTTGTGTGTTCCCCCCACCCCTTTGCAATGATGTTTTTGTCTCCTGTGTAATACATTCTAAATGGGATCTCAGAAAGCTTCTGTTGTGAAATCACAACACAAATAATCTCACAATTAGAACAATTCTCATAATTAAGAATATTCATCAGACATTATAACTCTTGGAATTATGCCACTTTGTGGTATAGTTTGGGTAGAAAAAAGTATGTGATTGCTGACAGGTTTTAGTGTTTGCCGCAGCTGTGATAGCATTTAGCCTCTGGCAGTGATATTCTGTGGGCTGACATTGCTACCCGCACAATTCCAGAAACCCTTCTACATTATCTGAACATTAGTAGTCCCGGAAATGTCTTCCTTTTTTTCATGGTGGGTAATAAAATTATGTATAGAGAAGCCAGTGGTGAACGATGTGGCAAAACTGGTGTTTTGTTTAGGTGATTTAAAAAATGTTTACGAGTATATGAGGAGGAGTTTATACACATAACTATTAATAAGCAATTTGAAGTTTGGAATGTTAACGTCTATAACATAATTTGATGTCTTCGGGGTAACTGTATTTTGAGAAACTTCTGTTATTTCAATTTATACAGAATAAATTTAAAAAATCAAATACTGTTTTGGGCTACATATAAATTTTCATTCTTATTTATTTATTTATGAGTGTAATTGTAATAGATAGTTTTGAAGTGTACACCCTGGTTACCTTATCTGATGAGATTTTGTTTCACCTTCATGGTAAGAATCAATATTTCTGAAAAGATCACACTGGTGTCAACAATTCTGGATCCTTATGTGAGTACCCATCTTTTTGATTCAAGCTTTTTTTCATTGTTATTTTTTAAAGATTTATTTATTTTAGAGAGCGAGAGCACATATGCGTAAGGTGGGGCAGAGGGAGAGGGAGAGAATCTCAAACAGACCACCCATTGAGTGTAGACCTGATGTGGGGCTCCATCTCACCACCCCGAGATCCTAACCTGAGCTGAAATCAAGAATACAATGCTTAACCAACTGAGTCACTCAGGTGCCCCTGGCTCAAGTTTTATCAAGCTCTAGATGAAGCTCTGGCCTCTGGCTTCTCAATTTTTTCATTTTTCCTTTCTTGGTGGTTGGGTGGAGGAAGCAAGGAAGAATGAACATGGTCCTCCAGGTTACAAAGGAACCCTGTCATTTTTCAGGAAACACTAATCTCCTTGGTCATGGTTTTAGTAGAGGTGGAAAGAACATTGGTCTAGGAGACGGAGACATAGGGATTAATTTAGTTATGTAGCCTTGGACAAGTCACTGAGCCACTTCGGGGATTAGTTCTTTTTTTTTAAAAGATTTTATTTATTTATTTGAGAGAGAGAGAGGGAGAGAGCCCAAGAGGGGTAGGGTCAGAGGAAGAAGCAGACTCCCTGCTGAGCAGGGAGCCCGATGTGGGACTCGATCCCGGGACTCCGGGATCATGACCTGAGCCAAAGGCAGTCGCTTAACCAACTGAGCCACCCGGGCGCCCTGGGGATTAGTTCTTATCTGAAAAATTAGTAGTTAAGTAAAAATAAGTAGTTAAAAATTAAGTATGTTAACATTATATGCTAACTTTTTTAATTTTTTTTTAAGATTTTATTTATTTATTTGAAAGAGAGAGACACAGTGAGAGAGAGGGAACACAAGCAGGGGGAGTGGGAGAGGGAGAAGCAGGCTTCCCACTGAGCAGGGAGCCCGATGCGGGGCTCGATCCCAGGACCCTGGGATCATGACCTGAGCCGAAGGCAGACGCTTAATGACTGAGCCACCCAGGCGCCCCATATGCTGACCTTTAAATTCATAATTCCAACTCTTAATTTTCTGATATATTCACCAATGTTATATTTCAGTAGTATGGCCTCATGAAAGATTTTTAAAATATGTTACTCTTGCTTCTTTCTGGTGTGCAACTTATTAGACCATATAGGAATTGAAATGGTTTGAAGAAATAATCTTGTCACAATTCCAAAGGATTGAGAAGCACCACTCTAACTAAACAGTTAACTCTTCCCACTTTCAATTAATGTGTTCAATGTCCACTAATAATTTCCTTTCTTTCAACTAAGGACACAGGTACTATCATCTACCAGCTTCTGTTTCATGGCGTCACCAGTGTTTGCACATTAACTTGGGAGACCTTTCTGGTATTTCACTGAAACAAAATTCATTGACACAGGTGTGGGCTTGGGGGAGGAGGTTCGTGAGGGTGAGGTGCATGCCAAACAGCATTGTGTGCTGACAGAGGAGAGCTACATTTCAGATCTCTAGCCTGTGGTGATCAGTACTTCGGTTCAGGCCCAACCAGCAGAGCCTGGACGAAAAGCCTCCTGCTCTGGTCAAGAACGAGGTTGTCATTAGTCTACCATATCTCCTTGTTATTCCTCGGAACACTGCTAAGCAGATTAGCTATCCCACCAACCACTAGCATAGGACAAGCTTCTATTGCCTTTAAGGGAAGAATGGAAAACTCATGACCTGGGCTCAATAGCCTCTCACTGACCACTACCTTGAGGTGTTCTCCCACTCAGCTTTTCTAACCTGGAAATTCAAGTTGACCTAAAAATACCTATCGTCCTAAGATGGCAAACTTCCCTCAAGGTTTTTACATTATTTTACCCTGTTGCTTAGGGCCAACAGCCAGCATTTAATGTAAGAATTTAGTGTTAGTATTCATATTTTTCTGAAACGTAATTCTTTAAATATATTAAAGTTTGCTCCATTGGGTATAATTTTATTATACAACTCAGGGCCAAAATAATTTCATTTTGAATGTATCTTTTAAAATTAAAATACCTAAACTATATAAGCCTAAAATGTTTGCTCTATTCAGTATAATTTTAATTAACATCTCAGGGCCAAGATAACTTCATTCTTAATAAATCTCTAGAACTATAAAGTTCGTCAATGGGAAAGTAAGTGGATTAACATAAAAAATTTAAAGATTCACACTACATTCTCTGAAATTTCTGAATTATAGAAAGGGAAAAGTGCCTGAAACCACACTGGAGAAGGAGCTCTAAAAATCTGTATTCAAAACATGAATTCTCTACTGCCTTTTCCTCCAAAAATTGTAATAACAGCATGGCTCTTAAATAAAGGAGAAAAAAAAAACTATTGGAAAATTGAAAACATCTTGCAAAAACTAATTCATTAAATGTTCCTACAGCAAGTCAGTGTGTTCCTACACTGACCACTGACATGTGGCTACCTTTGAACAGGGATGCTGCAGTTTCAAGAGCCAGCAACATTGGAAGACAGGGTTTAGAAGGGGAAAATAACTTACCTATCTAAAACAGGGGAAAAAATTTAGGTAGGCAGAGAGTAATTAAACTTGGGACTTGACCAAGACACAAGGGTAAACACTGAAATCGTGCCATACCACCGGAGTATTAAAGTCCAAAGTAGTCTGGTCGTGATATTAGAGGTTGTGTGGTTTTTGTGGATAACACTGGGATTAGAACGAGAATCCAGGTCATAGCTCCCATTCAGGGTCTTTCAACAGTTTCTGACCCTGGAAACGCTGGATAAATGATTTAGTCTATCATTTTTCAATTTATTTATCAGGGAAGTGCTTGGCTCATTCTCACGTAGTTTACCAGGATTATTGAGAGGAAAAGACATAAAGGGGTTGCTAGAACTTGAAACATTGTATAAATCCACATCATCAAGCCATTTTATTGAAAGATTGGCAGTAATTTGGCCCAGACTAATGTCTATGAATCCACTTAAAATGGAAATGATTGTGGCACCTAAAGGATCTGCATCTTCCACCTCTGGTCCAAGTCCTTTCTATGCCTGATTGCATTTAGACGAACCAGCTAATGAACTTCCAAGCGCAGCAAGGTTGGCTTTAGGCCAAAGGGACAATAACACACATATACAACAATCATATTCCTTCTGTTATAGAGTAGTGGTATAAATGTTGCAAACTCTAACAGTAAAAAAAAAAATATTCAATGAACAGTTAAGATATACTGCTCACTACATGGAACATGGCCTTGGTAAAGATGTTTTCAATTTTGGGAGCCTGCAAACAATTCCATTACTGTCTAGTAGTTCCTCAGCCATAATTTCAGAGCTGCAGGTTGGCAAAGGAGCCCAGGGCCATGATTATACATAAACTATATTTAGATGAAATGTTATCAAATCTAAAAAGGAGATATGTTCTGAGCTCAGTTTAATTCAACTGCACTCTGCCCTTCCACACAGTAACCAGTTATTACATTCATGGGATTGTTAACAATAAAGCTTTGTGTAAAACGTGTTCTACCACTATTTCTGGTAAACACTAAACACCCCTTATTAAGCTGAGGACTTTGGCTGATTCTGTTGGTATCAAATCATTAAATGTTCATGTAAATAGTGCATTAAAGTTTGATGATTAGACAAGTAACAAGGTATGCTTATGCCAAGCTAATCTTTTGCTCTTTCTAAATTAGTTTTTAATATAGTGTGCTTTTTATATATCATCTCATGTTCAGATAACAATTAAATCTTTCCCTGAGATGCATTAATATTTTGAACATGTAGTATGTTGTTCTATTGATTCATGGTCATTTCTATAAAAAATCGTAAATCTTCTTAAAATAGGCAATTCACTTACTTAACCATTTTGCCTGAAAAATGATGCAAGTCTTTGAGTTGAGGTAGAGATGGGTTTTTGTTTTGTTATGTTTTGACAGGAAAAAAAGGTTAGACATAAAGTTAAGCTGACTGATCCATGAGTGGCAGTTGCCTGGGATGGCTGTCCCATCACCATTTCCATGCAGCCTTTGGCGTACATTGCTTAGCTATTAGTGGTACGTAAAAAGGAACAAACTCTCTGAGAGGGAGTTCAAGGATTTGAAGGCCTCTCTTTAGAAATTTGGTGAGAAGACTTACCTAAGAATTATGGTTAATCTTCCGTGTTTGCTGTTAGAAAGGTACTCCATTTACTCTTGCATGAGCCATGTTTACAGTATGACGGGCATGAAGTTTTTACCATTTCACATTTTGGGTTTTGATGATGGATGATTGTGGAAACTGGCAACACACCCCACTCTAGGTGCTGTTGGGGAACCTGTTTTGTGATCTTACTGAGTCTCAGATGACTCAACTGTGAATTACGGGGAGATGTGAAATTGAAGTCCTCCATCATAAGCATCACTCTTGCTGGCAGAGTGTGGGTAGTGTTTACAGACATTAAGGCTCAGGTTGGCTAATTAACCAGTAATAATAAAGTAAGTGAGCATGCTATCAAGGCTGACTACCTGAATGCCGATTAAAATATCATCTGTGACTTGATCCAGAGCTGCTTTTATATCGTTGATGGTGAAACCCACTAAAGGATCCACGTCGGAAGTGTTGGCTTCTGACTGGGATTCCTCAGAGCCTTGTTCTTGATCCAATCCCTGGAATATTAAAAATAGAGAACACTCAAGTGACTTCTGGAATGTTCAGTGATTTATATGTAACCTAAAACTTCCCCTGGGTACTTTTCTACAAGGAATGATGTTGATCTGAAAGAAGGTTTTGATTGGATGTTATCCTGCATTTCTGTTATTCATGAGCATCAGGACAGATCAAGTCATGGTGCTGCTAATCAGTGCTTACTTTGAGGAGAGTGGAAGTGGAGAGATTGAATTGCTGAGCCATCCTCAGCTGGCCCACCAGCGAGTCAACCCTAAAAGAAATATTTATATTGAGGTGGGAAAAATCAGAGGGTAAGAAAATGGAAGAGCATTTAGTTTTTTCCCTCCTGCCCATAGAGAATAAAATGCTGAGACAAGGTGAATTAAGAGACAAAAAGAAACCTACCTTCATTTCTGTATCCAATGTTGGGGGTGGCTCTATGAATGTTGAATAAATATCAAATGAGATTCCTTCTTCTAGAGGATCCAGGAAGAGACCACCTGAAGACTTGACAACCTCTAACACTTGCTGGAGGGGAAGAAAAGAGCTGTATCATGGTGACTAACCACAATTTCGGCCAATTCATTCATTTCCCTCTCTATATTGTAATGAATATATAGTATATAATACACAGCACATATTATATAACATATATCATACAACCTATTATCAATTAAATTAATTAAAATTATATGATAATATATAATTATGTATAATTAATGTGCATATAATTTTTATATAAGTGTGCATATGCATATATATAGTGCCAAGTCTATTATATTTTAAGTGCTATTTCCTCTGAATTCTTGACACCACTGCCCTCTTAGGTTCTCTATTGCTTTTTGCTCTCTGTATCTCTGTATCTGATAATTAACATTTTATTCTTTCCCACTGTCTTATTCTCTTTCTATACTATGTGGCTTAGGACTTCATTTTTTAAAAATTTTTTATTGTTATATTAATCACCATACATTACATCATTAGTTTTTGATGTGGTGTTCCATGATTCATTGTTTGTGTATAAAGGACTTCATCTTATACTGTCTTGATCTTTAATTGTTTTATGTGTCAGTGTTCCCTTCCTGTTGCCTACAAGCTCTCTGTAGGTAGAGACCGTGCTTTAGATCCTCTGTATACCTTCTCCAGTTCTGGCAGAGTTTGTGTGCTTAAAACATTCACCAACAGCCTAATCGTGATCAGTGTTACTCAGCAGAGTGTGGCCATTCTTGGGGGCAATGGAAAAGTGGCCACCAAGAACTTGGTGATGAGGACAATAAAGACTCTGAAGGTTAATGCATAAAGCCAGTGCACTATGAATCAGAGAGGAGATCTGTGAAACCAACCAAAAATACAGAGGGTGAGGCAAGACCTCACTGTGAGCACTTCAGAATTTTGTAGCAAGTGTGCAAATCTGAGGGAGGGCGATGGTTGGTCAACACTGGAAATGAAGAAACAGGAGTCAAAGAAGTCAACTTAAGCAGTGTCCATCCCATCGTGACTTGAAGGTGAGAAAGAGAGGAGGGTACTGATTAAGGCAAACATCTGAATCACTTAATTAGTTCCTTTTGTTCTGATTCTGTGTTTAACAAGCAACATCTTGATCATAATTTGACTTTCCATCTCCATTGATCTATAAAGACGTACCCAGTTCAGTGCTTTGATCTTCACGCCTATTACATTCCTCACTATACATCGGTACATTGATGTTCTCATTTATACAGCGAGCTTGCTTTTGAGGCCCAGAGGTGAAGCCACCCACCATGTGCTGACAAAGACAGACCCTGAACATACATGTTTAAAGACAAAACTCTGGAAATGCATAAAATCACCAGCTAATTACCATCCTACAGGACTTGGAAAAACCTGAAATCATCATCCATTCCCTTCTAACTTCTCCACAATATTTCAAGTTAACCTACCTGTTAAACATGTGATCATGTATAACTTATAGGTTGTAATGTTTCATCGTTTGAATATTAATAATGTTTTTTTATTTAGATAGGTTTGGGAATGTCTTGAAAGCTCAAGCTATTGCTTGGTTGTCCCAGTGTATTTGCATTGAATTCATATTGTTAACTTTAATTCGATTTTATAGGAAGCTGCTGCTTAGTATAAATATAGAGAAGAACTGAAGTGTTAGAACTCTGTAGTAAAGGCAATTTGGAAACCAAGCGATTAAATGGTTGGCTTAAGGTCAAATCATCACTTAGTGCCCGGGCTGGGAGTTAAACCCCGCTGTGCCAACTTCTTGTCCTGTGCAGTTTTCAATATCCATGTCATCATATTGCCATACTTGGAAATTATTGATTATTATTAATCACTTAATCTCTATTCTGTTAGGTGACATCATTCCAGATTGTTCTTCTTAAGTTGACTAAATGTTAATCAAAACAGAATCTAAAAAATATATATATGAGAACAATTCTTTTCTGTCATCATATTCATAAGTCATTTTTTCCCCTAAATGGGACATACAAACATTTTCTTCTTCCCACAAAATTATTTGTACCTTTTTTCATCATGCTTGTTTTTCATCCTCCCACAACTTATATTGCTCTTTATTTTACCAAGCTAGGAAAATGAAACAGCTAAATATAATTAATGTCCTTTGCAACATTATCAGTAAAAAAAATAAGCTGCACGTGAGAATCTAGAGACGAGGGCAGATGATGAGGCATATACTGAGTGGTATAGACTTTCACAGAGGGTGAGGAATAGGAATTTGGGGGAAGTGGTGGTGAGTTAGCCATTGGAAAGCAGAGAGAAAAGAACCCAGTAGGGTTTACTGCATTTACTGTAGACCCAGAGAAAGCAAGCATGAGCAAAACTTCAAGGTAAAATATTTCTTTTAATGAAGCAGAATTTTATTTTGTTGCTCTTGCCAAATTTGTCTTGCAGCTCTGCTTTTCTACACACAGGCTCTTTCTGCAAATTGTTTCTGAGCCCTTGGTAGAAGTTCTCAGCAGATGGCCTCTGCGGCCTGGTGGTAGCCAATTCCCCCCGCCTCCACTTGTGCCCTTTCTTTCATCGGATCATACACGTGAGTGGAAGCAGATATTTGTGTGCAAGTTTTGTCCCTCACACCTCTGTGGTCCACATTTCTTTACAAGGCTCATCTGAACTACTTGCCAACTATCCAGTTTTCCTGGTCTTTGGCATTGGGTGTGTGTGTGTATGTGTGTGTACTGGGCACATACTCGGGAACTTGGACTACTCCCAGCCCCACATTATTATTATTATTATTTTTTTTTTGGTGGAGTGAAACTCCTGTTTATCCCAAGAATCTCTTTTGCTTGATTTTTATGAATATAGCTCATAGCTCATACAGGTATTCATTTGATTTAATTCCTGCACAAAAACTGGGGGTGAGAATTTCTTCAGAGTGTTTTGCATACTATCAGTGAACCAGATCATAGCTACATTTTTCTCTTTCACAGAGAGTTACATTTGGCTTTGTTACTAAGATACTATGAAGGAAAGAAATGTCCCAATTTCAGAGGGGGGTAAATATAAAGTCATCTCATTAATAATAAGAAGGCATACTGTCAAATATATAGTTTGAAATAAACCTAGCGCCAGAAGCATCATAGTGAATTTTCCCCCCATTAAGTAATCTTTTTAAAAAACAAGTTTAAGGAAAATTAGAATCAATAATTGTGGTGAGAGCACAGAGCCAGCAAATATGTTTAAATGAAACCGTCTGATGCAATACTTTCTTGAAAAAATACAATTAGGCCTTTGTATTTTTTTTTAACAAAACCTCATGTTTTACAACATCACTGGTTCTGTAATAAAATCTATTTAAAACAGAAAGACATGGTCAGCTTTATTAAGTTAGATTTTCTGAAAGAACGTTATAATTTCCTCAAGTCTATGAATAGTTGAGGCAAATTAAATAAAGCTAGTTTTATAACTATTTTTATACATTCCTGTAGCATTGTAATTGTCTCATATTTTTTTCCTCAAAAGTCTAATATGTTACCTCTTAAACCTAGGAAAATAAAAACAGAAAAAGGTTCAAGTATGTTTATTAAAAAAATACTCCTATTTCATACCCCGATTTAGCAAGCACCCTTTCTTCTTCTCTAAGAGAATAGCACCCATAATCTTTAGATCAGGAAACAAAGGAAAAGACTTTAAGTGACTTGCCTGAGGCCTAATGCTGAGATTAAAAATCAGGAGTTTCTGATTATACACATACATCCATTTGGCCAAATGATTGGTTTTGCTTGACTTTCAAATACCCCCTAAATATTACTTTGAATGTAAAGCAATAAATGTGTTTCTCTTGCCATTTTTGAATGCTTGCACACAAATGGATATAATAAAAACAATCATGTTGTTCCATGTGAATGCCATTTATATTTTTTCTGATAATGAGCAGACCATTTGAACCAAGGTGAGTACATTAAAAGCTCTAATAAAGAAGAGAATAGATTTCTAAACAGAATAATGGACTGTTAAGTGAACATACAATAAATAACTTCTACAGATGTGGTCGCTAGAAAATTAGTTTTGCATAACTTACCAATATACATTTCCCCCAGATGTTATCTGTTACATGAAAATTAACTTAAGTTGGCTATATTGTTCATTACGTGCACACTGCATTAGTGTTATTTAAGATGGTTTACAATCTGAGCTTTAGTTGAATTGTGCTATGGTATTTAAAGAGTATCAAGTAAATGGCTTTTTGGTATAATTTAATACTCGTAAGTACAAAATTTCATCACTGAAACATTATGTAGGTTTTAAAAAATCCAAGATCTTTACAAGCCAAATGAAATCACTAGAATACTTTTAAGATGTTACATATTCAATATAAAATGGACATCTATCATGGGAATAAGTGATAGGAATTTTGAGTCCTCCTGGAACTAAGTACAGGGTCAGTGTAGGTTTGAAGAATGCTTATAGGAATTAGAATCTGCTTCAGATCTTAACTGTGTCTGAGAAGAAGTATAAAAATTATATTTGAAAATTGTGTTACTTCATGCTTTCTTTTTCTATTTTATGTGTTAGTATTATTGATAGTACAAACTCTGGCTTACTGTTTTTGTTATTGTGTTGTATTTTAAATGTTTTTTTTGTTACTTATTTTTTTATTGTTTTTCTTTGGAAAAAATGGTGGATGGATTTGTGGGTTATGGTTGTACTGATGAAATCTATGATCAAGGTGGCAATTACTAAATGATTAAATCCAATTATTAAAATATTCAAGATATTAAAAAATGCCATTGAAATGACAACTTTCCACTGTTTTGAATGGCAGAAAGCAAGATAAATCTGTTAAAACTTTTTTGGAGTGATAGAAATACATACAAAAAACTGGTATGCTTTAAAAAGACATTTGTTTCAAATTGTCAGATGATGACTTCATATGTAAATCAAAACTCACTACAAAATATGAAAGTTTCAAAAAGCAAACTTTATTGCAAACATTTCCCAATACTAACTAAGGAAAAAAGGCACAAAAATTCCTGTAATGTTTTAACTATTTTCTCCCCTTGAAAAAGGCATTACTCATT